GTTGAGTCTTTCACGAAAGTGAAGCGAAAAACGGCCATTTTGGGACCTAAGAGGGGCATACTGTAATTTCCTTATGACTTTCCTGAAGATATTACGTCACGCTGTAAAGCGAAATTCTAGCCTTAACAAATCCATGACTGGGAAAACAAGGGTTTCACCTCTGGGGTAAAAGGACCTTGTATATATAAAGCCATCACACCCAGTGACATGTATGCATCCCATTCTATGCGGGAGCACTGCATCTACCGCTGCGCCAAGAATCTCGTTCACCTTGTCTTGGCGCTCCCAATCAAGCTATAGAGCCTCAAGCATTTCAATTGAAACAGCTTGAACAGGTTCTTTTTCCTTCCTAATTACTACAAGGGATGAGTACTCTCTGGGAAGTCAAACGCTTTTAAAACTTGCCAAAATTCTTTGAAATCATTCAGCCTTGTCACAATGTGGTCGCTGAGAAGGGAGAAAACAAAATGTAGTGCTATTTCAAAACACGGGGCATCCTGAAGGAGTAAGCCTAGGGAGGTAGGGCATAATTTCGAAAAAAAATTTAAAATTACTCACGTACCTTGGAGTCCCTATAGGGTCTACCGTGACGTTCGCACTTTACCCATAATTTCGCTACACCCTCCTTTGCGACCCCCCTTCCCAAAACCAAAAATGCGACCCCCTCGTTCAAATAGTGCGAACGCATGGTTAACCCTGGTCCCGCCTCCTCGTCTAATGCTTGCTCCCTATTTTAACATGTTTCAAAGGCATTGCCATCAAAAGCACCCTTTCAACCAGGATGAGTTCTATTAGAGCAGAAGCAATCCTTGGACCAACGTCTGAAGTGATGAAAATGAGATTTTCATAGCAGTGTTTTCAGGATCACAGCGTTTTCTACCGAGAAGCGTTGCCTCCAGACAGTCATTATGCCAAAGCGGTTGTCGTGTTTCTCCACGGGCAATCCTATTCCTCTTCAACGTGGACCGATCGAGGGTGAGATCATTTTCGGCGTTTGAACTCTGTGTATCACCAACAATCATTCAATAATTGATTTGGCCAGATTTCGTTGCTGATAATAGAAGAGAAAAGCAAGCCACTTCATGAGGAGGACTTGTGCGCCCTTCGAAACTATTCACAAATTGCTTCCTAGTACCTTCAGTTCACCAGCAATCCTTTCTTCTTACTCCAGTTTAATTTAAGACAGTGCGAACCTAGAATTTTCGATCTATCCCCTTCACGCTCACGGCTGGATTTCCATTCAAGTTTGCTGATCACAGGAAGACGTGGTCGTAAGAAAGTGGTCAGCCTATAATAGGGTTTGAACCTGCAACTTTAATATATATAGGAAACGTGCTTCTCCATTTGGCTATGGATACCCCTTGATGCTTATCAACTTTCTGGTTGCACCGTCATCGATATTTTCAAAAAAGTTGCGTTTCAGATCTCTAAGCACATTTGCCGCTCTTGGATACCACTGTATAGCCCCGGATTTACCAGGATGTGGTCAGGTATGTTTTTTCGAGATGGTGGATTACTGGACACTTGGCAGATCTAAGTGAGATTACAAACAGTTCGATATTCTTTATCTCAGTCTTCAATAAATTTCAATATTGCATTTTTTGAACCTCTTTCGTAATTGAATGGTGTGAAAATAGAGATTTAGTGGTTTATTCCGAACACTGAACTTTCCTTTAAAAGGCTAGGATATCTCTCGAATTGAATCCCCGTTAGTCTATTCATCACTCGCAACTGGACAGCCTCATTTGGTTTTTAGGGTTTTTTTTATAGCGGATTGTACTTTTTGTTTAGTTCAGTTTCCCATAACCATGCTTCGGACTTTAAAACTTTCATGTTTCCATAAGTAAGATTTGAGTGAATCAGCTTCTCTCTTCAAGGGTTAGACTTATCATGAATCTCTTTTTAAACTTTTATCTAATCAGTGAAAGGTTTCTTAACTTGTGTGTGTCCCAAAGCTTCTTTTTTTGCGCAACCGTGAGGTCTAAAAAATCTAATTCAGACTCGGGGTCCTGCTGTAAGCGTGCACGACAAACCTCAATTCCTGCTGGCTTTCCTAAGCGTGTTAGGAGTTAAACAGGTATGTATGTTTCAAATTCATTCATATAGAAAAAGTTGAAAAGTCCGGCAAAATTTTATGATTTCGCATAATAAATGAAGTGATCTAAGGCGGATTTGCGGAGGAGAAGATTAGCGATTCAGGAGATTTTCTTCAACTGTAAAAACGGGGTCCAGTAGTTTTAATGTTTGTTATTCCATGGTGTAAAACCCGTCAACCATTGCATCCTGATTTTGAAAAAAAGAATTGTTTCAAAAAGGCACCGTCATTCCAACTACATTTTCTTGACCATCTATCTCTTTTAATTTTCTCCTTCATTAATCACAAGTGGCGTTGCTAGGCAAGCGCGCGGCCTAGGGATCAAATCCGTGTTCGTACGTCGTACTAATCAGCCAAGCCTTCCATCTCTCCGGGGTCGGTTATTGTTACCAGACGTTTCTAGGAGGATAAAAACCCTGAATTGCGCAATACATCGGCTGGCCCCTGTAAGTCACTGCATAGCCGAAATCGCTATCGAGTTGCCAGTGGCATATCCTAAAGCGGGATTATACAGTGCCGAATTCTTCATGCTTTTATCTTTTATTTTCTGTAACACTTTTTATTCATTACGAAAGATCAGTTGCCTGTTTGCTCTCTTTATTATGTCCTTATTTCTTAACGGTATTATTTCGCCTTTGTCAAGAAAACTATTAATCGAACATTACGTGATAGTTTGCGCTTGATTAAGTATATTCAGTAATGTGGTGACGGCCTCAATGCAGCTCAATACTTCCTACCCCTTCTAACCAGGACGTCTTTGTCTGCGTGTTGCATTGCGCCATCAAACACTCATGAGATCAGCCAGCCGTCTTTATATCGAACACCAATCCTCGTCTTGTGGTAAGCTTGTACGGATGTTTATATTTGACAATTTTGTAACATCAGGATTATATGCTGGCTCATTTATTGTTTATCTATTATTTATTTATTTATTCTTATTTATTTATTATTTATTTATTTATTTATTATATTCACTGCACTCGGATGAAAACGTTTAAGCAAATTATAAGGTTCCACTCGAAGGCGGAGTTTTCAATGAAAAACAGCCTACTAAAAAGCAAGCGAGGTTGTCAGTGATATAGAGATGGTCGAAGAAACTACAGAAGCAACTAGGCAAAACAGGATGGTGACACCCCATTTTGGCCTCACTCATTCTGCGTCTCTAGCGCTCTCATCATGAGGACTGATGTAGTGCCGCGCGCTAGAGTCAGACGGCGGAGATGGGCGTGGATTTGCATGGCGCTAGCGCCGTCTGAAGACTAGATCGCGAAGAACGTACTCTTAGCTGCCAAACGCGCATCCTCCGATCGTGGAGTCGCTGCCTTTCGATCGAGATATTCCCCACTTTGACCTCCGACTCATCGTGAATACTCCTTCAATAGTCAAACCTCAAATGCTACAAAACAAAATAACATCATTCGATTCTCTTATATGTAATAATGGCCGTGAGGAGTTCGCCTACCGAGGCGCACCTGATCAGTGACGCTCTATTGCTCACTTGTCCTACATAGAATCCACTGCAAAACCTTATCTTTCAGGAGACCACGATACCTCATTGGGACCGACGGCGGCTGCAAACCTTCGAGTCCTACCCAATGTTCGACTACACAAAATCCCTAATGCCGGTCATGCCTGTTATCTCAATAATCCCCAGGCATTTGAGGAAGTCTGTATGAACTTTTTCGATTTGATAAGGAATTATCACGCCTTATAGCTGATCCCTCATCAGCTCTGCACTTTGACCATGAGATTTCGTGCTTACGTTGCCATTTTGTCCCGCTGCTCAACCTCGTCTGAGATTTCTTTTCTAGCTATTGCGTTTTTGTTGATTACAATTGTACGAGTATTTTCTATTTCGCCTGAGCTAATTTTCACTGCTCTAGTCACTTTACTGTTTCTTAAATTCTGCCAAAGAATCGTGCATGCAGTGGAAAAAGACCTATTCCTTGTTAGTTTTATAGTGAATTTGTCATTTTCATCTCGTCTTTCCCAGGTCGTGTGTTATGCTGTGTATGGGTGTTTCTACTTGAATCCTCACTTTTGCGCAGTTCCGGTTTTCTCATGTGTTTGCTTCTGCCCATAGCTCTAGCTCTTTGTTTATATTGAATTTTTGCAATAAAAATCAAAATGGATAGGAAATCAAGCGCAAACGAATTCCGAACGCCGTGAAAATCCAGCGTTCGAAGGACGGGGGAAGGGGATAGTCAAGCACTCCTGCATTGTTCTTATCCTGGTTGTCTTAAAGACAGTATCCTAAGGATAAGATCAATATAATGGATGTAAAACGACTCTGCGCGGACTTGTAAGGACCTGTCGGATCGTCTTACATTCCCCACTCCTGTCCATCGGTTCCCCTATCCAATTGTTGCCTTCACCATTCGCTTCTGCAGCTCATCACCCTCATTACTGAGGCAAGGTCTCTATGCCTCAATTCAGGTGACCGTTTCCTTGGCATCGTTTGCCGGGTCAAGGTGATAAGTCTAGGAATTCTTGGACCATGGCCTGTACTCGTGCGGAGAGTAGTTCTGCGAGGTTGAACGTAACGCGCGAGAGCACAGACGGCTCTGCATGGCAGGAAGTTGCTGATATATCGCGCGGGAGTGGCACGTAACTGAACAGACTCGGAAAGTGTCCTCTTTACCCGTCGTGAGAAATCCCTCGACCAATTATTCGCCTGGTGTGTAAGATTAAATTTGCTGGAGGCGGGCACCTCGGAATCACTCCGTGCCAACATCGCGCGGGTACTTATCGAAGGTAAATGTATTATGCGTCGATCACCTGTCACGAACGCATTTCCGGTTTTTTAAACGGCAGCGCACTAGATTTAAAGCGGGTGAGGCACTCAGCGCCGGTGAAACATGTTGCCCAGCACGAATGATTCACTCGGCTCCCAAATAGAGCGACGGTGTGCGCTCGCTTTCATGAGAAAGGTCTCGCAGGTTTGCCTGAGCAGCACAGGAACTTCAGAAAGCAGCTCCGCCCCCAAAAACGAATCCGGCCCTCTATTTTTGGCGTTGATGATTTGGGACGAGCAGCCGTATGCCAACCGCGGCACAACTGGGGCAATTCGTATGAAGTTGCGGGTTGCATGGGTGCCAGCTCAACACGTTGCGCTGAAACTCATTCATTACGTCCTATTTTGGCTTCCACATTGTGCCGCGAGGGTGAAAACCAACGGCCCAGAAGGAGGGAGCCCATTTGAAAATTTTTGTGACAAGACTTCTCCGGGTTTTGCGTCGCTGACTGACCGATTTAATTATCTAAAGTACGTCTTCTCTGAAACCCTTTTTGAACTTATCGTGAATCGTGCCTTCGTATTGTGAGAAGATCTAGGGCCGGGTCCCTTTCTGATGAGTTTTCACCTTTTAAAAGCTCTTTCCATTCTCTCGGCTATTTATTTTGTGGGGTATTATTTTTACACAATGATTCCCATCAGCCGTATGCCCTGTCAGGATGCTGGAAGTTTTCCTGCGGCACGTCGCATCAGGGCGGTGGAGCCGTTGCCTTCTAGGCTCCTGCTATCTTATTAATGAATTTATGAGCTCTTGGTCCATCGCTCACAAGGGTCTGGAAAGCAGTCCGTGTTTTTATGACGGTCACTGAACTTTGAGTCCCTGAAGCGGACAGCGTCGCCAAATGACACCCCATGGTGCGCTAAGGGCCAGCTCACAGTGAGCCATTGAATTCCAAACTGCCATATGCCTCTCCAGCCATCGTGATCACTGCCCCCTTTAAGTCAATTACAGAACCAATGTTAAACATTTATGATCGGTGTTCTATAAGCCGAAAAAAAGTCAATAGACTCTGGAGCGATTTGTTATTTGACTAAGAAGGCGGTTGGCAAGTTGAATCGCCTTGAAGCGAGGAGGGCTCATTAGGGACCAGAGGCAGCAAATGCGAAAAGACACACGTGTCGATGACGTCAATCAAATAGAAATAAGAAATTGCAAATTCTAGAAAAAAACCGCCTCACATATTAAAGCTGGTGTGATGATCAGACAGAAGGGGGAGCACAATCTGATTGTGAGATCAATAAGTTAAATATAAATAATCCAAAGGGCTGACTAGAATTTATGGTTTTTCGACCAATAAATTTAATATACATTTTTGTCTAAGCGTTCTACTCTGAGAAATCAATAACTGTCACTGAGTTACACAAAATACTTGGCACGGTGGAACTAAACGAAGACATTCTGATGATTTCGGTGATGAAAAAATGAAGGCGACTGAATTATGATGCCTTCCGCGTAAAAGTCTGCTCGTACTTAAAGAGAGACAAATAAAGACTTAGTCAATGTCATTCTTGCGGAATTGTCGAAAGGTCGGAAATAGAGGCGTACCGTGAAAGCGAAACTTTGGAACTTCGGGGCACGGGATCCTTTGGGTTACGGTGCAGAAAACATGCCCTTTCTATAGCGTTAATTCTTTACCTGGTCCTTGGCATCGACCCGTTAGAAATAAGTTTGTACTCCGGTTACTGTAAGGGACTACCGGTAGTCAGAATTTGTCATAATGTGGTTCAAAAGTATATCATCTGCGTCCAAGTAGATGTTGTTGCGTAATGTATCTCTACTACAGGGTGAATACTACACAAGGAGTTCCATATAGTGACTATTACGAAGGTTCTTTGTAGGGATTGACCACGAGCTCGACTTTGGGACACGTCTCCCATTAGTACCACGTATGACCGGTCTGCCCTCAGCCTGGAGCCTCACCAAAAGGATACGGCACAAAGTGGGCCTTAATGGGCCCCATGGTGTCAGTCGTCGCGAACGAGGACTGTGACGTTCTAGCTGATGATTGCTCCTTAAACTCCGTTTTTCAGGGATTCGGCGTGGTTTCTTTCTCAATGGAATGGTGCGAGTTGCCATTGTGAATGGGGCGCTTTGGGTGCCTTCTTTGGGTCGCTCCATCGATGGGCGTGATGGTAATCGAGGGGCGGGGGCCAAGATGGCCCGCAGCAGAGCGGCCGTGTTCCGTCGATCGTCCTCTTGTGACTCACCGAAATAAGCTGAAAACGAATGAGTTATTCATTGATTGCGGTAAAGAATAAGTAAAATTAAGTTAAAAATAGTGAAATGAAATAAAACATGTCGCACCGATGACGTCGTTAACATCGTGCACGTATTCTCGTCCCTCTTTGGAGACCAGTATGTCTATTGAACAGATCGACATTCGACCCACGTGCTCACAAATCGCGTGTATGTACTGTTTATGCCTGCAAGAGGCGTGCATTAAACTGAGATCTATGCAACCAATTATAATAATGGGTTAGGTACCCACAGCTAATCACAAGGCGGTAGGTGGGACCTGCCAATGTGGGCGTGGCATGCATCAAAATTAAGCTCGGTTCATATTGTGTGACCGTGAAAGGAAGCGTTCATTTAATCGAAGACAGTAGCAATCATACCGTTCATTGGTGGGTAGCTGTTCCAAAACCGCTGAGCCAACGTTGCTTTTCCAGTTCTTCGATATCCCGCGACGTAGAAAAGTCTTGATCTCGTGGCCGATTTTCTGCACATGCACGTCGAACTTAAGATCGACGTATGGTTCCACTTCTACCTGAACTTTAATTGTTCAGTTGAAGTTTAAATTTTCCTTTACAGTTATTTATTTGTTTATTGAACTATTGTGCAGCGGAGCAAGGATAGATGACAACAAATTGACGAGAGTTCCGATAGAAAGGAACAGAATAGATGAAGATGATAGATTATATAATTATAAAATTATAAAACGGACAATGAAGTGACACTAGAGGTGAGTTGAGGAGAGAGAGGGGAGAGGTGGGAGAGGGGCCGTGGCTTGCTAGAAGAAGGAAGGGCAGTGCTCGGGCAAACACTGCAAGCCCCCGGGCGGGATGTGGCTCCGGACACCAGCTTAGTAGGTCCGCCAACCTCTCTGAAAAACCAAGGCCACCTCATGCTGCATAGGGTGAATAAGTTAAGTTCTTATAATACACATGATATGTAGAACTTCCACCAACTCAGAGACTGGGCGCGGATTCGCCCGAGTGATCGCGACCAGTGCAGTAACCGACCTGCCCACCTGGCGGTCGACTTTGCTTCTCAAATGTAGTGATGCACCCCTTCTCCTGATGGTTTTCTTGTAATGGTTAGTTTCAGACTACGGGTATTTCAATCCATCATGGAGGCAGAAGGGCGCAATGCTAGCCGGATGGGCACGGCGATTTTTCGAATACGGTAAGTTATAGTTTGTGGCGATGAAATAGGTTCGAATAATCCAACAGGAGAACCATCAAACGGAAAAAGCAATAAGGAAAAAGTGATCATCGATCCTCACAGCGTCTCGATAGGGCCGTAGCAGTGGATCATCAACCACGTACATTTGCGTCTACCGTATCCAAAAAATCGGCGCGCCAACTCAACTAGCATTGCACCAGTGGGAGCTTTGCGAAAAAGAAAACTACCCAATTTTACACACATAGTGAGCTTGATTAATTAATGAATCGATAAAAACAACCAGGGCAGGGCCTTATGACAGTCAAGCACGAAGAACTGACCTCTGTGTCACCTTTGCCCATGATTTGTAGAACTCCTTCAATATCGCATAATTCTTCATGGCTGTTCACTTTGATCTTTCCTATACCTTGATAGCCTTCATTCACCGAGATCACCACAGGAAACGTTGTTGGCTGATGCTGAAATCTCTTCATAACATTCATTTCTTGACCGTCATCATTGACATGGGATTACGGTATATTTCGTAAGATTATCACGTGATATAGAAATGTGGTCTTATCTATGCGGTCATAAGTTCGAACTTGCCAATTAACGTAAGATAAAGAATGGGCGGCAGAGGACCCAAGGAAAGTGCATGATGCTAACTTCTACATATTGGTCACTCCCCCTTGTCACTTGGGTCAACCGTCTTTTGGTAGAGGTACCAATGAGGGGGAAGCTTATTTGACCCAAGGGCTGGGCACGGTGACCGCAGTGGAAATAATGCCGTCGCGAAATGGAACAGTGGATTAGAAACATTACCCCAATTCCTTCAACCGTACCGTAAAATGGAACTCAATATTACTTGGCATCGTGCATCAAAACAGCATATCTTCATCCAATCCAAAAACTCATTCACTCACTCAAATTCATGTGCCATGCTTCAGTAGGATAATAGAAAGTACGAAAATCAGCACAGGCTTTGATCTATTACAAAATAATTGTTAAGCTCAATAGATTGTAAATGGTTTGGATTCCCCGCCGTAATCTATTACAAATTGTCGGTATAAGCGGCCACGTATAACGTAGGAGCGCGTAAACTTAACTGAGTTTACACTTAAAATCGTCGCAGAACCTTGCGACGTGGGTGGCAGCCCGCGCCGTTCTACTGACCTCAATATAATATCAAAGTGAACTAATCTGTTTTTTTGAAGCAGTGAATCTTTTAAAGTATCCGATGTACTTTATTAACATATACAGAAATTACTGAAAACGAAACTGGAAGCCAAACAAAAAATAGGGACTCCAATAAAAACAGACATTTGCTTTCACATTCAGATCATCCAATCACACTTTTGCGTTTTCATAACCCTAAATGGTCCGCCCAATAGTAATGAAGAAACATTTGCAGTTTTATACAATGTAACCACCTAACGTTGACGCACCGAGGATAAGTTTGCCCAGAAACCTGGTTTCGGAAGGAGGATCATGTTTCGTGCACACTGCTTACCCCTTGTGACATCAATACAGAAAACTTTCGCGCAAAGGTTCTTATTTGAATACTGCAGAAATCTAACTGCTCAAAACGACAGTAGTTCACTCTTGATAATTTCACTCCGTTCGTTTTGCTTGTTTTGGGCTGTCCAAATATGGCAGTACTCAGGCCAGCAGACTTAAGTGGGCCGTCATACCACAGGAATTCTGTTGAGGTGGAGAGTGACCTACCGTGGCGCTATCAGTGATCCGCTAGACGTACTAGGTTCCAACTAACGTACCTCCCACCCCCTTTCTGGCTCCGCCCGTGCTGCCAACAGCCGTCTAGGAGTTCAGTACTTTTTCTTTAGCTATTTCTTTTCGTAGTTTTTTTTTTTGCTAAGGGCACTGCTTGTATTTTTCTGTTTCCACACACAGGCACCTACAGGTAAAGCAGGCGGTTTTTTGTAATGATCCTTTCAGGTACAGTGCTAAATTGTGTCCTGAGGTACCGCTGAGGTGTAATTTTGTATTAATTTGAAGCACGTATTTGCAACAGGTAGCTTTGCAAGTAAATGTGGGTCGGGTCTAAAAAGGGTTTTATCACGAGTCAGGGTTCATTTTTGCTTCCAAAATATGCTTCAGATTTATTTCGTGGAAGTGATTGTGATGTGATAGTGAACGCTTTGCCCGGTTGTTCCACGACATTCGCCGCTCATCGCAGTTGTCACTAAGGCCTACAGTAATGCTGGTCGTTCCCCTCTATCCAAATGACGAATGACTCGCCCATCACTACTATTTCACGTCATTCTCGTGTTCCTCTTTGAAAGAGCCCTCTCCCTTTCCGAACATTCACATCCTAAGTAATCTCCTTATTCCTTAAGAGGGGCAGCCTTAATTCTCCGTGATTGAGAACTTCTTGATAAATTTCGGTCGTATAGAAGTTTGTTGTTACTCTAGCATTAATACTAAAGTTCCCAGTAAGAAAATCCAGTACTCCACTCCAATGGTAATGACCAAAATATCATTTTAAGTAACTTACAAATCGATGAAAATGTGGATAGTGTATCGTCGGCAACAATGGAATCCGGCTGTTATCGGCCAACACCAATTTACGCAGCTGCTTCTTCTGAAAATGGATCCTATCAAAATATGAAGGGAACGGCTAACATTCACCAGAATCACCGTCATAAACTCAGTAAAAAATCATTGATCGATTAAGTAAATGATTTAAATGATTAATAATAATAATTAGTAAATGATTTCGACCTGTTTTTGCTTGCTAAGTGCTGTTTTTAGCCGTAGTTCGCCTTGGAAAAGTTTCACAAGAATGGTGGGTTATGAGCAAAACTTTCGCCCCAAGTGCAATTGCACTGTAAGCGAGGGGTGCGGGTTCAAGTCTCACCTGAGCGAAAGTTGTTTATGACCCAGTATTCTTGTAAGGAAGCAAAGACAATATCGTAGGTTTCAAGAATGAGACAAAGTCCCTCTGGTGAACAGTCGATGCGAGACGGCGGCCACTCATGAAGGACCTTTGAAAACGACTTGAGACACTTCTCTCGCGATAAGGTGAGTGCGTTTCAAATGACTGCTAGGATGGCTCTAGACTGGAGCCACAAGCAGAGGTGTCGCTAGTGCAAGAACGCGATAACTCACTAAATAGCGAGCTTATTGTCCGCTTTCCGTCCGCCTTGCTGTCGAGTCGTCTTGCGCCGTTGTTAGTCGTATTCGCTCACAGGGTCAACGCCTGTGGTCTACGACAAGTAGCAGGGACGAAAGGGATCGTCTTTTGATGAGTTAAGTAACAGGGGGTCGTACTTGTCTTATTGTAAGAAGTGTCATGTGATGAATAGGCGAGCGGCGGCTGGAGACAATCTCGCCGTTCACGCGCGCTAACGCGCGAATATATGCCCCCCTCACCACCCCCCGCCCCCCCCGCTCGAACGGTAATTTATTTGGGTAAAAGCTGTTGTAGAAAGAGGGGAGCATTTCATGAAGGGAGCGACGATCGTAAAACCTTTTTGAAAAGTAGCAACGATAGACCGACCCTGATCAGCTCATCATCTCGCCACCATAGTGCAACATTTCAATACTTGTTGTAAATTAGCTACTAAAACTTACAGAAAAAAAACAGTGTTGCTTTATACATTAAAAGTTCATATATTTACGCCATATTACGATCTCGAATCAAATGCGCTCAACTATTAACTGCAATTACTTGTCGTTTTCGTTAAAGAATAAATACTTTCCGTTCAAAAATCCGCACATAACGAAAGTTAAAACCGTCACTATAACCAAATGTTTTTATCCAATCAAACGCTACATTGAAGTTGGCTGTTGAAGAAACGGGATATTGGCGGCTATCGATCGTCGCATATCGTCTTTGACTGAGACTGTGCGTAGCGGAATTGCGACCAAAGAATGCCGGCTTGAGGGAGAAAAGTCCTGCAATGAGAAAGTTTTCCCGACAACTTGGCCAGTATTCTGTCAATTCCTTCGAATTGGTTCCGTTGGTAAGCAGATTCTCTACTCTAGGTTAAGCGAAAAAAAAACGACGCAACCCAATATATAAGGAGCCTGCTCTCACCTGGATCCCGTCCAATTTGATTGATTCTACTGTCAAAACTGTGCTCTGATGCATAGCACATCGAGCTTCTGGGAAATCAGCTCAAAAAGCATTTGAAGAATACAAAATCTCACATCTCATGAGAAGGAGCATTAAGAGAGGCAGGGAAAACGTTTCAATCGATTCAAGAAGCTTGCGGATTCACACACGGCCTGCGACGTTTTGCCTCGAATTTTAAATAATTATTCAAACGAATCATTCTCCGCACTATCTATATGGTTATTTCAACTGAAAGATATTGGCCTCCCATAGAGCGGCATGGTTCGAGAAAAAGAATCCAAGTAACTATCGAACCTCTAACCCCGATTAAAGCGATAGAATTTGAATTGGTAATCAGGGATGTGAAGGGGACCATGCTAGTTAAAGCTACGATCAGGATTAGGTGACCATAGAAGGCCTTATCCATCCACTAATATTTCCAGGAAATTCGCCCAGAGGGGTGAGCGACATATCCTGACTCGATATTACGGTCGCCTGATCAGGCTCTGCGCTACAATATTCAACAGCGCGAGTTCGTTTCACAGGCTGGTCCGCCCACCGCGGATGTGTTGCGTGCTGGCGCATAACATGCTGAGATCGAGACTAGGTTTGAGATTACCATATCACGATAGAATCGGAAAGCTGATCATAATCCGGAAAACACTCGTTTGGGCGTGGCTCTGCCCCGAGAAGCCTACTTCACTGACTAGAGGGGAGGGTCTCGATTCTCGTCATTGTCGATGGTTTTCTTTGCGTTTTTTTCTTACACATGTCAGTTCCACCTCACCAATCCTACTACACTCAATTTCAGGAGCCATAATGTCCGGCAAACAAAGAAACGCGCCTAGACTATTTGGCCTTTAAGGTAAGGGTACCTTTCAATCGCACGTACTTAAAGGCCGGCGAGTAACACGATGGACAAACATAACCAATCCACAAATAAACGCGGGATGAATGATGGTAACAAACCAAGGCGGGAAACACCGATTAGAAAAACGGTCCCATAACCAAGAAATTGGAACCCTTTCCTTTGCCACATTGGTATTCCCACAACCATTGATAAGCAGACATCTGCATCACTCGTAGCGTCTTCCAAACACTGACGCTAACCTCTGGCTATCAGCATGCATAATGCACTTACGTAATAGAGAGACCATGCGAGCGAGTGATAGATGGTCGGTGGGCAGGACCTCCGCCCCCCCGAACCCCAACCCGAGCACGAAAACAATGAGCGCCCTGCTAGGTCGCGCGAGGCCTAGATGTTCCGAGGTTAACTTGCCCGTCATTCGGTACGATCTCGAATGGTCTCTCAGGCCATATGGTGAATTAAATACCTTTTTGACCTTCATAGTCGCATATCAGTGAATTCCTCCTTAGTTAGTATCCTAATCCTGTGAGGTCGAATGCTATAATGGAGAAGCTCTCGCGTTAGGTCTCAGTTAAGAACCGAAAAATTTTTAACTCGGCAAGAATTGCAATGCAGCCTTGCTTACGGCGTAAAACGTTCTCTCAGTGCAAGCATCGAATTTTACGCCTTTTTATTAGACTAAGATTTTACTATTTGTATTATGTGCACGAACTCGGTAAAGATATCTGATTGTTGAAAACTCACCTGCTCACAGTATGGAAAATCGTTTTTGATTTCGAAAGTATTTCTGCCTGAAATAATATATTCATTCAAATCATGAGCGCATATAATGAGACATTGTGCTGAAGCAATTTGAAATTGCTTTTTTATGAATTAATCAATAGAAAAAAGTCAACAATGAAATACAGTGGCCTTTCTGCCACTCGCTAAACAATCCTCGCACTCTCTGATACGAGAAAGAAAACCCTTGTCATTCCCCTTACTCGGCTACGCCTCTCCCCCGCCTCTCCCACTCTTGCTTGTTAGACCATCGTGACAGCACTCTAGTTGATCCCTGGATACTAACATGCCACTCTCGCAGTTCCTCCCTAAACTCTTTCACAGTTTGCGTTTTTCGGAAGGAGGTAGGTGTGCGTGGCTGGACCGCATTGCAAATTCCACACCTCTCTATTCCCACTCATTCGCTCACCACCTTTTCACTGATAAGGATGAAAGGTGAATTGCCATTGATCAATCCCTTATTGGGATGCGCCACGCACCCGTCTTCCATTCGTACATTCATAGTGGCACTTATGCGATTCAGCCGATACAATGACTTTGGTGGGCCAGCCGATGTACAAGTCAGTGTTTTCGACTCTGGTACCAACTAACCGAACACGAAGGAATGAGAGGTTTGGTTGGTCTGGACGACCCACATGCCAGGATTTCAATTTCGGACCGCGCGAGTGGTAGGTACTTGCCTACGGTGCCTACGGCGCACTTGCTACTATACCACTTCTGCACCCTCCCCACCGAAAACACCTAGGAATCCCAACAGAACCCTTCTGTCTCACCGAAGCGCACTCTGTTGGGAAGTATTTGCAATGCATCACCTCCATGAAAGTCAAACACAAGATCGATTCTGTAAACGAGGTTGTGAACTCGACACCTTACGACTATGACGTGCCATTGAGATGCTAGGGTTGAGTAGTTCCCAACTTTATACTGATCGGATTAGCCACATCAGTTTAGCTCAGCGGTAACTCGTAGAAAAAGGAAATCTTTCAGAAACTTGGAATGTTTCAGCCGATAAGGCAAAGAGTTCGTTACCAGAAGGCATGTTATGCTACTAATTTCCATATAGCTTCTATATGATTTTAATTGTTTTTCCAACTTTCCAACTTCTATATAATTTTCACTGTTTTTCTTATATCCTTTTGTTTCCTTTTGTTATCTTATATCCTTTTGTTTCCTTCAATCCCCCACTCACTGCTGAGCCCCGGGGATTGATGGAAATAAAGTGGTTCGTCGGAGCCATAAGGCGAAACGAACCAAATTTTATTTCTTTGGAAATGAAGTGGTTCGTCGGAGCCATAAGGCGAAACGAACCACATTTTATTTCTTTACTTACTTATTCAAAAAATGTTTACTCATTTTTGTTTTTGCTATTAGTGAAAAATTTATCCGTGGAAATATCCATAAAAGTATTACAAGGCAAATGAGTA